ATGCCAGGCATCTGGGATCCACAACCTGGGCATGTGCCCCAATGGAGAATCGAACTGTGACCTGCTGGTTCATAGGTCGACATTCAACCATTGAGCCATGCCAGCCAGGCAACGGGAATATGGCTTTGTTCTGTCCTACAAGCTATGAGCTGAAATGACATGTGTCACCTCTGCATCAAAGTAGGAAGATCAGGTATGTGACCCTCCACCTCTTTTTACCCCTGCTGTGGTATTTGGGAGAAACATGTTGAGATGACTAATTCACAAGATCAGTTGCTGCTTGGAAAGCCAACCATCTTGTATCAGATTTTGTAGGAATAAAGACTAAACTTTTGCTAAAGGAATGAGATATAGAGGGATTTAATTCATTGTGACAACATTGTGTAGTCCACCATGAATAATGCACATGGCTCTTCTTTCTCTGCAAAGGCTGTTGCTAAATGAACTCTTTCAAGCACATCAACAGTTAATTAATGACAATGCTCCTGATACACAAAGGAGTAGCTGAATGTCTTCAAATAGGATGTTTTGCCACCCCAGGAATTTCCTGTGCTTCCTTGAGGCCTTGCTCTGGAGGTTTCCAGGTGTGATACCACATTGTGAAGCTCCTAACCATGAGGTCAAGAGGATCAACTTACAGAGATACTTCAGGTCCTACATCATTTTGACAGATATGTATGTAATTTGGTACCTATTTGTGAGGGAGGAATAAAGAGAAAAAGTTAAATGACATCCTCTAGAACAGTACTGTACAAGACAAATATAATGCAAGCCACATACTGAATTTTAAATGTTCTAGCTTCTACATTAAAAAGAAAGAAAATTAATTTTAATATACTTTGTTTAGTCCAATGTATCCAACAATTATCATTTTACATGTAATCTATATAAAAGCCTATTAATCCCACTGAAATCTGATGTGTGTTTTGATTGTAAAGCACATCTTAATTTGGACCAGCCACGTTTTAAGTGCTCAACAGCCATATGAGGGTGGATGTGACAGTGCAGCTCCAGATGTAGCAAATTCATTACTTTTATTGAGCTTATGCCAGGCATTATGTTAGACACACTCACAACATTGTTGAATTTATTCATTATCATAATTTTTAGAGTTAACAAGTGAATGCACTCACAGAATTAGAAAATGAGAGTTAAGATTCAAACCGGTTCTCCCTCCAGCCTCTGAAGATGGAGCATTGCTCTGGGCTAGTGCAGTACCCTGGCAAGTCCTCTGTAATCCCAGCAAAAAGGTCTAAGCCTCCAAATAAAGTAATGGCATTGCTGACGGAGAGATGGATGGAGTTAATGAGTATGAAGGAGGTGTAATCGGGACTACTCTACCCGGATAATTCATTGCAGATGGGAGGAAGAAGGCTTCAGAAGGGGCTTGCTGAGGGTGTGTTCCTGCTACAGACTTGAGCAACTCAGGAGGCAATGGTGATGTTTAGGGAGAGATTGACATGAGGTTTGTTAACACGAGGTTGGGAGTTAGCAATTTTTGATGACTGGAATTGTTAGTACAGTGCAAAGAACCTAACCTACTTTTTTGTTTTAGCCGTGACTATGTTATATTTGGTCAAAAATATCAGATGATAATGATTTAACACCTGCTAAACTTTTACAAAAAAATGATGTCTACACAGCAGAACTACTGATAGATTGGCAAATATTTAATATTATTACAGAAAGAAGGAACATCGACAGCTAATTCAACAAACTCAGATTTATAGCTATGTATAACATTTACAAGCTTCCATGTGCTTCTTTGCATCTTTTAAAAAATATTGAGCTTTGTCACCACACGTGCAACACTGGGCATTTTTTCACAGTTGTGTAATTACGGGCTTATCTTTGGACCTGTAAGAACAATTCCAAGTGATGCCACCTGGGTCTGAGCCACTTGCCTTGGTGGGATCTATCAGATGACGGTATGCCACGTACTTTGGAAAATCTGATCTTAAAAATCCAAAGGAACTGGGCATTTTCCTCTGATCAAATCACATTAACTTGCACAGTGTACGAGAAAAGATTTTACTGAAAACAAAACTGGGAGCAATCCAAGTATCTCATAAGCTCTTGACAGTTAGTACTGGTCCACAGATTATAACTGTGATGGAAAAAAACATTATAATTATCCTGGAAAGTCATAATTGTGCTCTTTTTATTTCTCTATTTTACTAAATGAGCAAAATATCCTTAAAGTTCTCTGCAATAAGTGGAGGTGTTTGTTTATGGGTCATATTTATTTAAATTGGCTTTGAATATGTCTTCACAGAAGTAATTAACCTGGGTGTAACCAGCACACGTAATCATCTGGAGTAAGTTATGTGCAGAAATTCTGTGGCCAATCACTACAGGTGCTCCTAGTTTCCTATTACTCATTACGCATTCTCAGGATCAGTACATTTTACTATATTCTATCATAACGTATTCCAAAGTTGTTTAGGCTTTTTCAGTCGTGGCTGTTTTCCTTTTCACTAGTTATTTATGCTCTCAAGTTTTAGTCTTTAGAAACATGGAATGGACCAAGGTGGTTCCTGCAGCTCTGAGGTTACAAGGCAAGGGTCATGCAAAATGAGTTTGCCAAGTAGGGGGAAGAATCTCCCGTAGCCTCTCTAAGTGTTGAAGAGTTCATCGGAGTATTTACACCCTTACATAGTATAGAGGAAGCTTTGCTTTGATCACAGCTCTCTGTTGGTGAAAACAACCGTTAGCCGATGGAATGAGGAACTGCCTTTTCCTGGGCTCTTAAGCTCAGAGCTGATATTTCTTCCGCGTTCTGGTTAGTGTTTGATTCTACCGGAATTCCCTTGTGCTTTGAAGTGCTCTGAGATGCAGTTGGTCCAATACTTTTTTTTTTTCTTCTCAGCTACTGAAAGTTGTTGAAAATAGGCCTATTCCCTTCCCGTATATTATTACCTTAACTTAGCAGAAATCATCCTCTAAAAATAAATAAAATTTAGGAAACAATGGACTACAGTGAGTTTCGGGTTACAAATTTGTAAGACAAGAAGGCAATGATTATTCAGAACTTCAGACACTCAGTAGCTTGCACATGTCCAAGGCATAGACCACATCTTTACTTTAGTTGCACATTAGGGATGTGTGATTAGTTGGCACTGTCTCAGAAGGGCAGTATTTTGTTATTATCACATTTATCAAAAATATATATGCCATAGGTATCTTTAAAAATAAGCCTTTCTCATGGCTTTAAAAAAAATTTTCAATAAAACTAAAATATGTACCTGGGATCTTTTTACTATTATCATAAGTGTATGTGACTTATGAATTGCATATTTGCATTATCAAATACAGAATGATTTTCCATATAGGTAAACTTATCTTATTTCTTTGTCTTTTAACCTGCTAAACACCTCTGGTTTTCCCTCGGCCTATTCTGTCCTATCATCTTCTGATTTCTTAGGTTAACTGTGACAAAAGCAGACAATTGTCATTTAATCATTTCCATCCTTGCTTTGGTCGATTTCCATATGGCCATTGCCTTGTATAACAATACTCCACCTCACTTATCCAAATCTTTTACAAATCCAAACTGAATCAAGGTACTGATATTAAACTCCTAAAAATATTGTTATAAGAAATCACATGTTTGGCTTTAACTTTGCACTCTGTTTGGTACACAAATATGCAAAAAGTTTCCTTTATTCCTATGAACAAAAATGTTGACATCAAAGACAGCTGGTGTTTCTCTGCTGAGTCTGAATCATATAAAATGAGAGTCTGCAATTAAATATTATGAAGGAGCTATACAAGCACAGCTAAAACACAGAAGCTTTCAGTGATTCAAATCATAATAAACCCAGACTCAAAATAAAATAACCATTTTAAGAATAAAACATGCTACAAATTGATGAAGCACAAAAAATAAAAACACGCAAGAATAATCTTCCATAGTGCCAAAATTACAGTAGTCATATTAAATTCTTCAAGTTGGAAATCTTAAAACAGAAGACTAAGGGTTTACCTATAATTCCTGTCTTTAGTTTCAATTGAATTTTCGTTCTTCAAGATTTATGAACTTGTTCTAAATTCAGTTCACTTGGAAGTATAGTATTGCTTTTTACGACATGGGAGAAATAAATGGTTTATTTCCTTTAAATTGTGGATAGAAATTTAGTGCTTGTGAGTTTCATGGTATAGAATATATAGCAAAATGCATAGCATTTTATATAAAACTGTCTTGCATTAGTGTGCCTATACATGTTATAATTAGATATGCAAAGGAGTCAATTTTCAACCGTAAAACATTGAAATGCATACAGTTATCAATAAAAACAACATACCAGGTGAATGCAAATGAAAATGTAGAAATTAAATGAAATTATTCTCCATGTACGTCATTATAAGGAAACTTTGTTGAATATTCTGAATTTAAAACATCCAGAACAAAAGAAGTTCAGTTAAAAGTTTTTGAAATTTGAGAGGCAGTCAGTGTCTTCCGCATTTTAACCCCTACTCCACACACAAATAATTAGAATTTCATAAAATGTAGATGGAAAGCAACTGGACTTATGGAAGATTGCATATATTCTGAATTTTTAATTAAATCAGTCATAATCTACATTTCATGCTAGCTTTCTGAAAGTTATTTACTATGTAGTATTTCAATTGAAGAAAACTACCAATTTCTGAAAGAAATCATAAATCTAAATGTAGGAAGAGATAGAAATTAGAAAAACAAAGTATGTTAGATATTATTTTACACTTTTTAGAAGTAATATTTAAGTATTCATTTCTCTTAGTATATATAGAAACATAACAATTTTAATTGTGAAAGCACCAATTAGTGTTATGTAAAAATAGTAATTTATTTTAAAAATTGGTAAAAGCATATAGAATCACTAAATAACAGGTGTTAACTAGAGCAAAATTATTTCTCAAACTTTATAATGCTTAATACCTGGAGAGAGGCAATTCCTTAGTTTTAAAAAATGAGGTACATTATAAATCACATAAATTGCAAGTGAGCAGTTAGCATATTTTAATATATTGTCAAAATTCTTTATTTCTTAACAAACAACCGCTAGACATAAGTTATTTCCTAGAGAAATATAGCAGAAATATTTCCATCCTCAACAAAACCTTCAGAGATAATTCCAGTTTCAATTTAATTTTCCATATTTTAATTCACATAATATAACTATAAGTTACCAAGGTAAATTTATCTACCAGGTAAAATGCAAAGTGAAGTTTACAGTATCTGTAGCTAATGGTCACATTTAATTTTAAATATTTTTATTCCCATCAAACCTCACATCACAAATGTACTGAAGGAATTATCATGATGCTTAAAATGTAAACATAACATTTCCAGATTGTTTAAGTTCTAGTACCTTTAAAAGAAAATAATTTTAATTTAAGAACTCTCTGCTTTTACTATTATCACTTCATTTAAACAGAAATAATACTACATATACACATTTATCAAATTTAAAGAGCACATACTTAAAATAATTTTGATTACATTTCCTACAAAAGATGAGGAGCTTACATTTTTTATATATTCAACCTCCATTTATAATATGGGGCTCGATATCAACCTTGCATAACATGCTGTACTAACAGAACACTTTTTCAGGAAGATTCAAGAATACTGTACATAAGATAATCGCCGTGGTACATATAGTTTAAACTAAATGCCATGTAAAATCTGTAATAAGTTTTGCAGCTTTTACCATTCTTACAATATGAGAAGAGGTACAAAGTCGACTTTCAACGTCAGATCTTGTTGATAGGAACACTAAAGTAGCTATTGTAGGAAATGCTAGGGATTTTTCCTGTTATTATGTTTTTCAGAACATTCTCTGTGGCCTAGAAAATAAAAATCGATATTTTCTCTTACTCCAAATATTCTAAGATATGAAAATTTTGAAAACAACTTAATGGAATAGTTTATATATATTTGAAAATTCAGAGAAAAAAGTCATATTTAGTTCTGGAATATGTCAGGACCCCCTTTTTCACTCCTTTCTTTTAGAATCACACTTTTTTCTCTGCCAAATAACATTTTCTTTATATGATGCTTTCTCTTAGAAATCTGGACATCATAATTTTTACTGACATTATACGTCTTGGATCTTCAATTAAAAAGACTATTCCTGGGGGCTTTGTTTTAATTGTGTGCCCTTCAGAGAAGCTCCTGCCCTTTCCACCATCTGACTTTTCTTTCCCACAGTCCCAGAGGCTGGCGGACTCAGGGCAGGTTGTACAGAAACTTCAGGACATGTTGTCAACATCTGACACAGGGAGTGAGAAAAAAAGCCAAGTCCTGAGCAGGTTCACGGAAAAGTGGCAGTTGCTGGAGATGAAAAGTTTGTGTTTTTGCTAGTTGCCGGTTCCTTGCAACACACTGGTTAAATTCATACCCATTCACTTCTCAGTCGCTCGCTTTCTCTAAACCGCTGTAATGCAAACCAAAAGGGCTTTATGGATGCTTTTTATTGATGCCTGCAGATCGAGTGTATCTTTAGTTAGCCTTGTCTGACATTCTCCATGGTGCTTTTAGTAGACAGCATGCTATTATGTAAATATTTCTGGTTACCGTTTATGGAGGTGTTGCCTAAATTTCTCTCTGGATGAAGCCCTTAATCCTTTCACCCAGAATCCATGGAGGAGCCACCCGAGTTTGGGAAGTTTAGTGTTGCCCTTTGTATTGCAATTTTTAATATTAGGGCACATATTGAAACCATAAACACAATGAAAATTCAAAAAATATTCCGACGATATTAGAACAATATACCTCCTCTTTTTTCATCCTTAAAAAGCCAAGGGCATGGGGAGTGGCAGGAAGAAACAGTCTTAAGATCTAAGCCCTGGACGCCATCCTGTGAGTGCTTAAAACCCTCAGAAACGTGCCACCTGAAGAACACCCCTTTGGAAGTCTAAAACAATATTAGATTCCCAAAATATCGGCAAAGAGAGTCTTACCGGCAAACGCTTGCAGCAGGTTCCAGCTCAGACCCAGACTGAAAAGCTGAGCAGCTGGTGAACAAAAGTTTTAGCTTTTTTTTTTTTTTTTTTTAAACGAAGTCTGCAAAACTAATTTCCCTCAAAATAGGGCTCAATTTCCGTTAAAGAAAGCAGCGCTTACAAATCTCAGAATTCCTGATCACCCCCCACCCCATCCCACCTCCAAGCAATGGAAAACAATTGCAACTTTCACACGGATGGAAAGGGTGAGGGCGACGCCTCTGCTCAGCAGCACCGCTCAAACGAAACGGGGGACAGGCTGGAGCCCGGGGGACTGGGCCAGGGAAAAGGTTCTGCCTCGGGGACACCTCTCCAAGATTAATCAATACTTTTTTTCCTAATTCAAACCAGATGGTTGGCCTAGTTTGCTGTCCCCATTAATCCCATTAACAACTTCAAAGACTCGGTCCCCATCCTCTGGACACCTGAGACAACGAAAATAACGGGGCGAGGCTATGCTGGTGGCTCCTTCGGGGCGCCGGGCTAGCTCTGTGCGCACCTATGTTCTCTTGACGCGGCACGTCCCGGGCAGGACCCGACTGCTCCTGCAGCTCATCCAGGGTGCGGATGGGGTGGGGGGCTTGCTCGCCTTGTGCAAACGACTCTGCCCCCAGCACACAGTGTCTCGAGCCGGGGGCAGCATCAAAGCCCCGCGGACGCCCGCACCAATGTCCTGATCAAGTTTTCTTACTCATTTCTGTGATGCAAGATTAGCCAGGGAGATGGGAAGAGCCCAGGGTTAGTGAACTCCGGGGATGTCGCAGTGTAACATTTCTTAGTAAATGGGCCACGGCCGGGGTGGGGGAGGGGGTGCTCTAGCCGATTTGCTTTTGAGCGGGAGGAGATTGATTTCTGGATGGAAATGAGAGATGGGCTGGCTCCTGAGGGGAAAGACGAGGTGTGCGTGCAACCTACACATCACTTGGGACCGGGTCAAAATCGCTTCGGAATATTCCTGACCCAGGAAAAGTTCTTGGTGGCAATTCGCTGGGACCAGGAAAGTAAGGGAGAGGGCGTTTGCGGAAAGCAGGGGACAAGAGACCCCACCACGCACCGCAGGTGAGGATGCCAGGGCTGGGCATCAGCAACTGTCACAGCCCCGTGCTCTCCTCCCACCCACCCCAACAGGTCTCCTTTCTGCACCCAGAATGGCCCCTTCGCGTCCGCGGGGCGCATCCCTGCAACCTGGGACCTGGCGTCCGAGCCCACTAACAGCGCACCCACAGACACCAGCTGCAAAAAGCTAGGCGGCCACTGCGCCCGGGGCAAGGGGAGATGAGAAGTTTGAAAAAACTTCTCGGAGCGCGCGCCAAACTAGCTCCGATCTTTCTCCTTAACTAAGCTGGTGTTCCTCTCGTGTTCCTCAAGAGCGGGGCGCAGCTCTAGCTTTCCTGCAGGTGGCAATGCCCAAGTGGCACTAACAAGACCCCTTTCCCGAGCGGGCGGGACGCGGGGTGCGGGGTGA